ATTTCATTCACCAGAAAAATTTTGACTTGTTTTCTGGTTTCAACACTGGACATTTATTTAGAGTCTTCAGAGCCCATACATTATTGAATAATTTTAATTTATCACATCCAAATATAATAGGCAAATATATAATACAATAAATTGCATTTATACACATAAATACAAAATTTGAGGTAGGGCCTCAAGAATAATGATTTCTTAAATTAATACATACAGCATTATTATATGCACTACATGAGTTATATATGGTGCATCCTTGGTAACATAATATATCTTCTCCACATATAGCTAATGAAAAAATAATAATGACCTGGTTAGGGTACAAATCTTTATCCATAGGCAGCAGTACCCCATAGAATGCCTGTAAATATATATATATATTTATATATGACATTACGCAAGTAATTAAGATTTAACCCATCAGCGATGGGTCTGTAATAAAGTGCCATAGGACACAGGGCGCAAATTCTCAGCTGGTGTAAATTGTCACCGCTCCAAACAAAGCTGTGACAATTTATACCAGCTAAGCATCTTCCTTACAAGGTAATACTACGTAATATAAATGACAGATAACAATAGGTTTTAGTCAAGCCGTAATTTTCCTAACAATGGAAGATAGCTATAAGGCAAATGGTTACCTGAAGATGTATTTAAACATTATGGGCAAATAATAATATTGCAAGCAGTAAGGTCCAGCCCTTTTCTTACACTACGTTAAACCCATCAAGAGAACTTTCTCTCTTTGGTGATCAGCTGCCTGAGGGTGACAAAGGCAGAAACCCCAAATACACCCTCCCCTCCCCCCTCAAGTTATCAACCTGAGTCCCTCGATTATATCAAGCTCTGACCATTTTACGGATACCTGATATGCACAATACATAACTACACACTAAGAAACAAGTGTCTCTTACAACAGTGCTCCCAGGAAAACAGAGCAGCTTTCTGGGACGCCACTTGCCAAAGCTCTGCAGCCTGCAACCCCCAATCCCTCCAAGTCTCTCTTTGATTGCAAGAAGAAGTGGAGCTGCAGAATAAGAAACTGATAGGAAACAATAGGAAACCAGTATCTGCCATAAATAAGCCATTCCTTTAACACAGGCAACAAGAAATCATATTATTCATACAACTGTACATATATTCAAAAGATGAAAGGCATTTAAAATAAAGCAGGAATTTCACGGTAAGAGATAGCCACACAGTGTATCGAAAGCAATGATCTTCGCTGAGGCACATCTAATGTGGTCAGTGGAGCAGAACCTAACCAAAAGACTACTTTGACCCAATCGAAACAGCCTATAAAGACAATTCAAGTCTTTCTCAATTACAGGTCATTTTGTTAAACCCTTCTTTTGGAAACAAAGTGCTGCCATGTCTAGCAAAACACAGGTTTTGAACATTACATATTAAAAACACTAGGAAGAACCCAAAGAATTTGAAGATGGCAAGCATTGGCATTAGGTATAATCTTTAATGCATACAATAATGCATCTCAGCTCATCCAGAAATCCAGTTTCATTTCATAGAAAAAAAAAGTACGCAATGCAAGTTAATTTCACCAAATTTTAACATTTTTTCACTCACAAGATAGATAGATCTGCAGGTACGTACATCACATTTTTACTAATATGGCTTTTTCCCCTCCTTTTTTTAAGATAAGATCTTTACTGGTATTTAATTAGTTACTAAATTTACTTTTAGAAAATTATCAAAGTACATGCAAACTTTTCCTAGAACACGGTAAATGAAGTGCATTCCCAAACTTCAAGGTTACTTCTCATTTAAAGAAGACACTGCTGGTTAATTTAATCTCAATATTCAGACTTGGCCAGTAAAATACTTGTAAAAAACTATTATGTGAAAAAAAGAAAAATCTGCTTTTAACTTACAGTGAGAACTTCTGTGGTTTTTTGTATGCATTTTTCCCTCCCTCTCCAAATGTTTTTGCAAGCCTAGTATTGGAGGTCAATGCTAGAAGACAAATATCAGCTAGAACAAAATCACTATCATCTGTTTTCAAAGTCAAGCCTAATCCTGTGCTAATGACTTAGCAGGCACAGGAACAACATCTAAATTAAAAGCAAGCAGATTAATTGCACAAATCATGGAAAGCAATTCAATTTTTCATATGCATTTTGGTTTGCTAATCCAAGCCAAAGAAAAAGATAGTATAACCTAGCAGTATTCCTCCAAATGGTATCTCTGTTATACTTAAGGTAAACAGTAACTGATATCCTTACACTGAGGTAATTTTATTGCAATTAGTTAATCCCAGTTCCAATATGTGTCCTGAGACAAGTTAGTAAGTGAAAGGATTCAGAACTGTTGAGTGATTTGAGTATTTGTCCTTTTTTTTTTTTTTCAGAGGAACAAACCTATGGATTTATATTTTTATCACAGTAGAAGAAGAGAAACTGGCCTGGACACCAAAAATCAAACCAAGATGTTAGGTAATACTGGTCAAGAGAGGCCTAAAGCTATTTATCGTGACAAAAATATCTGATTCCCACCAGAGGTGCTTACTTAGGTTCCTTTCTTCACTCAGAGAAGGCTCCTCAGTGCCACGTAGATGTGGAGGCCAGATTTCCAGCTGGTCTTTATGCACCTTCATTATATCAAACAGATCACAGCTTCTCAAACCTGCTTCTGCCAGGAAAATAAAAGCCGGAAGGAAGAATAGCAAGCCCCTTACTAAAATAGCAGGCAAAGCTGAAAGAAGGGGGCACGACTTTAAGGCAGAGAAGCTCACAGAAGGGTCTTGTCTTGCTGCTGTGTGAGACAGGGACCGGCAGAGCCCGTGGATGGAGATTCAGGGCCCGGCACAAAACGGTGCAAAATCTGCCCTCGCTTCGCTCAGTGACAAGCCCTGATGGTGCTTTCCTTGTCCTGCATAAGGATTAAAGGTCTCCAGCAGTGCCTAGAACTGGCAACACCAACTGCCCCGTGAAAGAGGAAGTTTAGCAAAATGATTAATATATTTAATATACATATATATATACACACACACACACATAGAGAAAATAACGATTTGTGGAAGTGTTACACTAAGGTTTAGTTTTAGTTTTCTTCAACGGGATGAAACAAGACATCTACTGATCTACAGACACACATTAACTGAAGATTTACCTGAGACCCTGTAATATGAAGACAGACAAAAGAACGGGATAGAAACAGTCCCCTGAAAGGAAAGAACATCTACTGGCTACTACAGTAGTGGGGAGGGGCAGGAAAAAAACAGGCTAAACTACTCTAAGTTCACCATCTCTACATCAATTGATAAGATATTTATAGGGACATAAAACATCACCAGCACACACTACATGAACACTGATCACCTTTAAAAAATATCATATTTGTATGCATAGGATACAACAAGATAGTAAAGTTTACAGTTTTGCCAATTATTTAAGATATATTTTTCTCCCTCATTCTAGTGCATTTACAATAAATTTGGCTAATTTTCTATTCAGGTAAATAAATGTACTCTTAAAAAGCTCTATTCTGTCCAATAGATAACAAAACTATTTAAGTCTAGCATTCATATTGCCACTTCTGATTTCTAGAATGTAATGATTTTGAACATCCTACTGCTATGCAATGTTTTAATGGCCATCTACTATATTGTCCTCTCCCTCTAACCCTTGCATTTTGTGCATCTAGTGTTGCATCCATGCGGATGACTGCAGTGGTTAATTGTTCTGGGGTTCTGGTTTTTCTTTATTTAATGAAAATATTATAAATGCCCCCCCAAAAAAAAGAAAACTCTATGTATATTTCCGAGAGCATACTGCTTTGAAGAATTTATGTGCTATATATATAATATATAGACAAGTAGGGTTCTGCTAGTTCCCTATTGGTTGAAAGAGAAGAATACATCATCTAAAGGTTATATAAAGATGTTTACAGGAGAATGAACAGGGAGTCACACGGTTGAACAGCACATCTAACTTCTAGTAACTGTTGTCAGGTGGTATCTAGACTACACTTACCACTGTAAGAATACAAAGTTAGGCACAAATTATATGATGGCTTCTTGAGGAGATACTGTAAACAAAAGCAGAGAAACAAGGAAAACTATGTTCAGAGTACTGAAGTGAAGCAAGTAAAACCACAGTTGCACTTAGTGTGGAGCAAGGTTTAGTATAACAGAGGCATTTTTAGTTGAAATGACAAGTATCAAACCACCAAAAGCAACATGACAGTACTTTAAACAGTGATGCCCATAAACCTCAGTCTGGCACCATTTCCAAACCCCTTCTGGACTCAAACGCAGTTTAGTCCTAGTCGCAAATGATTAGTTCTTTAAATTGTGCTTCTATTTTTCTACTTGAAAGGTCACATGGATTATTGTGTTTCTGTTCTGATCCCACATGTCACTATGTAGCTTCCCTGTGTGCCATTTAAATGGTCTCCACTTGTTTAAATAACAAGTCCTCAAACAGTATACATCATAAAACAAGCGTGCAGATATAATGGGCCAAGTGTTTGCCATCAGTGTAGAAAAAGCGACTCCCCTTACTGCAACGGCCTTATGCTGGATTTACACCAGGGGTACAGGAGAACCCCTTCTTTGCTCATTTCCATCCCATCTAAGGACTGAACGTCCCTTTGATTACCCTAGTAACAAAGTCCTCATCCCATCACAGCTCCCTGTTAGGCGGATGCTTGTTTGGAAATTAGCCCAATTCTGTAGTCCACGATTTCCTTAAAAGATTTTTGCATTGTGTTTTGCTCATTCCTACGTCACCTGGCAAACCCTGCTAAGTCACCTGTTGTACAATGTACTTTTGCTGTTTCAGCAGGTACAGAACATGTCATGGGCATCACCTACACCTGGAAGTGGTCTAGCTAGGTCTTCCCTACAGCATGCAACAGTAAGTTCTACTTTCCTAGGCAACCACTTTCAGGCACTGTGGGAAAAGAAACAAAGAAACGGTGGAGAAACAAAACGGTAAAAACATCAGAAAAGGCTGACAATGTTACTGCCACCCATGTAATAATTATTAGCATTGGGTCCCCAGCTCTATATCCTTCACCGGCAGTTTAAGTCCCAGGGAAGAGGTTCCCAGCGGATCAATCATATTCATGTAACGTTCACCACGGTGCTTGGCCAAAAACGGACCCCAGTCAGGCTGTGGAGAGCACACCAACTTGAGTCGCTGCAGCGTGGGGGAGAGAAAAAGAGTCTCACTTGAAGGTACGGAGAAGAAAAACAACACAGAAGAAATCAGGATAGGCTCATTTAAGATTATCGATGATGGCCCTGCAATGCTCCACTGCTCAGTGTTTGTGCAGAACAAAGTTTGCAAGATTAATAGAGGACAAAGTGCCCAGATTTTAATTATACATTCTCCCCCGCACCATATGAGGGGAGCTCAGAACCACCGCTACAGATTGTGAGGCTCACTTACTGAAGGACATGTGCACAATTACTTCGCCCAATGGTCTAAGCAGTGGGTAACTGCATTAAAATAATTGGATTTTTGTTTAGCATATTTCCCAGAAGTATACAAATGACCAAAAAGAAGTACATTGATATGAATGAACAAAGATTTTAATTTTGAGTTCACAAAATTTTTCATTTCTATCTGCAGGAAAAAAAGAAAGAGGAGAATGTTAACCTGGCAAAAAATAAAAAAAATCTTCCAATCTTTCCGCTGATTTCTTTATTGAATATACAATTTGATTGGCACATTTACAGATAAAAAGGAAAGAAAACATATTTCTGATGACTTAAGAGGGAACAATTATATGTTTATTACCTAATAAAGTGAATCAGACCTCTATATCGGTTATTTTAATCTCTGCTTAATTACCAGTTTGCAACTCTTACCTCCCAAATCAACCATAATAATTTTATGCAGCACACTCAGTGTGCAGGAAATACCAGGCTACAGCTGAAACAGCTTCAGCAAAATCAGCTTCAAAACAGATCCAACTTTTTGGTGTTTCTTTGAGCGCACTACTACAGTGGCAGTAAGCAGAGCCTCCTATTTTTGTGGCAATATACATGCCAGTACCATACATCTAAGTTGGAAGATTTAAAGCAGAAGAATTTGTTTTGATGAAAGTTAGAAGATGATGAACAAGTAAGTCTAATTTCACAATAGCTTGTTTCCAGTAGGAGCACTAGTCTCCTGACTTACCCACACCAACGTGCAATACGCAAAGGCTGAGCAGCCCTTTAGACAAGTGACCTCGTTGCCCAGTGCCAGCCACGTACTCGGATGCTCTCCCTAGCATGTCTCGCCACATCATACTAAATTCCTTTGCTCTATGTGCCGTAGAAAAGCGTAGTCTTTTCCCTTAGGCATGTGCAGCGTGACATACTGAGAGACCAAAAAGAGTATTCTGCTTTAGCGCGTCTTGTCTGCTCTTCACTTTTGAGGAATGTAACAGCCCCGATGGGTTTTGCAGGAGAGCTGAACTGCAAAAGCAGCTATGAAAAGAGGAAGCAAGGGTCTGTTCCTTATCCCGAGGAGAACGCAGCCCAAGCGGCATGCAGTGACAAGAGGGCAGAACTGGGAAAGCCTCAAAGGTCAGAAATAAGAAGATAGAACTTCTTCACACGATGAAGTGAAGGCAACAGGGGTGAAACGCTGACATAAGAAAGACATTTCTGTATTGTGCCTTGCAAGAGCTGTGGAGCCAGCGGGACGAGAGCAGAGACAGTAAGCAGAAGCGGACTGCCTCTGTTCTGGAGTGGTGAGGGGAAGCAGAAGGATTCTGATTTGCAAAATAATCAAAAGCAGCACAGAAGTAAAGTGTCACCTGGAATATTTTAAGACCAGGTACCAGAAAGGATCATCTTATTCAAGAAAAATAAAGAGATAAAGGAGTGGGAAAAGAAAAGATCGACAGCCAAGCTTTATGGTGAGTAGTTTGAGCTGTAGAGCATGACATCTTTTTATATATCTTAATCCTGAGCTTCATAAAGCGGCACAACCTCCTGGAGCGTGTCCCGGATGACTCAGGTACCTGAGACCATCTCACACTCTGCAAACAGGTGACTGAGTGACATCTCCTAGCACTGACTGCTGAGCTCACTGCACAGCGACGGCTGACTCTTCCTACGGCTACATGCTGCTTTTGCAAAAAGGCCAACAAAGCTAGAACAACTTTCTCTCAGCACCGCCATACCACGGCTTATGAAATTTGTAACTTCTTCTAGTTGTCGTGAAAGTGATCACTTAACGTTTTAGGAGCATTCTGTTGAGGAATAGGTGGTCTGCATTTTAAATCAGTCGAACATCTCTTTTTGCAACACAGTAACTAGCTTACCAAAAAGTAATCTTAGCACTATTAGACATTCAATATCACAAAAATCAATGTAAAATAAAACAGACAGTCCCCTGCGACCAAATTTTTAAGCAGGAAAAAGACAGAAGGATTACCTCGATAAATTTGCCTGGGGCTATATGCATTTTTATCACAAACATAACTGGGATCCAGATAACTGAGCAGGCCAGCATCAGCCACCCAAGCACCATGGACCAGCCTGGATAGTGGTAAGCTCCATAAGTCATTGGTTCCCATTGGTAAAAACTGAAGCAAAGAATAAACTGGAAACAAGGAAGGAAAACAAATATGTTTGAATAAGCAAAACAAGTCTGCTACGCAACAAATCGTCAGTACTCAGACACAGATTCAGAATGTATGGAATAAAAACACAAGTATATACACCTAAGGCAGGGCACTCCCACAAGCTGTAATAAACAGGTCAGAGCCTGAATCTAAGAGTTTCACGGATATCTTGCAAAATCCCACAAAAATCACTGTATTTATGCCAAAAGAATTGAAATTAAAATCTTGTCCCTAGAGTAACATCCTTTATTACATGGTCTATTGGCAGTTTTACCTAATGTGATTATGCTAAGTTACTCTATTTCCCTTACTGTATGAATAGCAATATATCTGGTTACATTTGTGCATAATTCAGTAACTTTTGGGAAATGCCTGTGCTTGCAATATTTGCACACAGAAGATTTATAGCGGTATAACTACGTGAAGGCACATATAGAAATGATCAGTTTTATTTCCACAATTGAAAGTCTAATATTAGACTCTCCAAATGTATCAAATATTAGCTTTACAAAGGCAATAGCAGAAAAGAACACATTGTTTGGTTTTGCTTTGTCTGTTTCCATTGCATAAAATTTGAATTACAACTGATCAATGTCAATTTATTTCTCACCATAAGTTCACTAAACATTACATCTGGAGGGAACAACAACAGAACATTCAAGTTTGAACTGACCTCATTTGCTTTCCTTAAGAGACCACAAAATTTCCCATTCCTGGTTGTGAATACTGGCAGTAGCTAAGAGTGCAAGTCTGATCCGTAAACTAACTGACCAATTTACAGAAAAGCCTTACCATTCCCTTCAGAAGTGTAATGATGAGTCTAAGACAGCATCTTGAAAACAGCAAAAAGAAGGAAAAAAAAAATAGAACCACACGCACCTTCCATTTTAACAAGGAATATATTGCCGTTTATGTAATGCTAGTACTATAGATTAAACTGGATTATGTCTTCCAACTTTTAAAACAGGATTTGCAAACTGTGAATACCTGTAAGAATTGTTTAACACTGCTGTGAAGTTATGGGTATTTAAAACCCTACACAAAGGACAAAATATGTTCTCTGAAATGTAAAATACTGGCGAAGGAGGCTTCGTTGGTTTATAATTACTTATCAAGCTGAAGGCTTTTTAAATTACTAAAAATTATTTCATTCTTATGCCAAAACATGATATGCAATAAAAGACTGAATCTGTATTTAGGTAAAAATATAAGGGAAACAGCGAAAAAGTAGGTATAGTTACTATATTCAGCATCATAGACTCATAGAATGTGCTGGGTTGGAAGGGACCTTTAAAAGTCATCTAGTCCAAGCCCTGCAGGGAGCAGGGACATCTTGAACTAGAGCAGGTTGCCCAGAGCCCCATCCTGCCTGACCTGGGATGTCTCGAGGGATGGGGCTTCCACCACCTCTCTGGGCAGCCTCTGCCGGTGTCTCCCCATCTTCATTGTAAAATACTACTTGTTTATATCCACCCTATGGTCTACTACTATCTACCACAAAACTCTCCAGTTTTTAGTTTTAAACCATTGCCCCTTGTCCTTCCTAAAAAGATTTGCCCCCATCTTTTTATAGGTTTCCTTTAAGTACTGCAAGGCTGGAATACTGGAATCTCCGGAGCTCTCTCTTCTCCAGGCAGAACAACCCCAACTCTCCCAGCCCGGAGGAGAGGTGAGAAAGTGCCATCTTTTAGATTAAACGGGGATCTAAATTGGAAGTAAAGCATTATTCCCAAGTTTGGGGTGGAAATTATTAAAATAAAATAAAAAATAACCGCAAAACAAAACACGACACAATCCTCTTTTATATAGAAAAGAACCCCTTTTTAGGGAAAAAAAAAAATAACAAAATTAGTGGAAAGCAGCAGAGGGGTCAAAGCCCGCACGGCGCTTCCGCAGCCGCTGTCCCGCAGCGCCACCTGCCGGACCCAGCCCCCAACTCAGAAGTTCCATTTTACTTTTATTTTTTCTTCCCTCCTCCCCTTTTCATTTTTTATAACGTCTCCGTCTTCGCAGCTAAAAACTTTGTCGCTGTGATTTCGGCGTCACCGTTTTCAAAGCACGCCTCTGAGATGAGTCTATGACTCAATAAAATGGCTTTTTTCCCAGCTCGACCTGAAAACAAGGCAGGTGGATCACTTTATTTCATCTCCCATATCTATCGCACACATATACAATCGTCAAAAATGCTGCTGTGCAATGCTATGCCCTACCAGCGCTTTGCACAGACAGAGAAAAGCTACCAAGGCAGTGTGTGGAGACCTACCATCTCTCTTTACCAAAACTACCATTAGTTAGGGTCTGTTTCATCTACTGTGCACACAGGCGTGTGTGTGTCTAGGTATCTCCATCGAAGATGTAATTACTGCCATTCAGAAACACACAAACAGTGAAGAAACAACAACAAACTTTTTGGAGAAGACATTCAAGAAAAAATGTTGCTTACTGTTAAAATTGTTGGGGTCACAAACGCCCAACAGACTCTCCAGAATTTACTGGGCTGGAATCCAATCATCATTTCTATATCTTCACAAAATCTCTGCAATCCTGTAAACAGGAAATGTAAACGCAATTAGATGTGTTTGCACATGTGTTGCAGTTTGCAACATAGTTCTTGGGTCTCCCCTGTGTCTAATTACAAAAACAAACCCCGACTTGTTGGTGGGAAACTGCAATGGAGAATCTAACCACACAGTAAAGTACGAGACTACTACGGAGGGAACTATCCTAATAAAATATTTACTTCCTAAGGATTAAAGGAAAATTGAGATTTTACATAGTGTTCAGTGTGTTTCAGGCTAAAGCATTAATAGTATGTATGAGTGAGCTGCAATTATGCATATACTTTTATTTTGCTGTGAAGATGATCATTATCTGTACACCTGTTTCAGCAATCCGAGCTTCTCCAGACCTACTACACGACTGGGGTATGATACGATTGTCTCACTTAGCACTGAAACTGATAATGTTTTGTTACTTTTCATCTGATATGTAAGCAATACTTAGAGCTATTACAGAGCACCTGTAAATATTTTAAATTTCATTTGATGTTCTTCTAACAAACAGATGGTCTGAGGTGTTAGATTTTTCAGATTATTGTACTGATTGCATCTATAAAGTTACTTGAGTTAATAAAACACGCAAGGTTGGAAAATGGTATGAAAATGGTATTTCAGCTGTCTCTGTAGCCACCTCCCCGGCCACGCTGTGTGACTGGAAGCGGTGTGCTGGCCCAGCAGCTGCTGCTGCCCAGCTGACCAAAGCTGGTCTCTTCTCCAGACTGGGTCTGCAGAGCTGTTTAGGTAAACGGCCCCTACTCAGTGCAGCTTTCAGTACTTTTTTCCAAAAGTAATAAAAACAAAATTGAAATTTGTTCCACCTTTTCTAGTGATGAAAAGGAGAAGGAAGCCTGGGGACCAAGGCTGAGCTCCTCCATCGCACCAACATTTCAAAATTAGGCCATTTTTATCTAATAAAGCAGGTGATTGCCTTTATAATTTAGATTTTACAAAGCATTATTCTACAGCATTTAGTCTAACTTCTACAAATTAGAGACAAAGTATGGAGCTTAAATATTGGAGAGAAGTACCTGAGTAAGGGAATAAATACTTGGAACAAAAGTAATAAACTGCTTTATGTTCTTACTGCCCTTCCAGCCAGCCGCTGCAGTTGCTGAATACAAGAAGAGATAATCCCTAGGCTTGATCCACCTAATTTTGAAGCCTTTCTGCTGATATCAAGGAGAGCTAAGTCTATCCACCTGACTGTTCCCAGAATTAAGGAGGCAAAAAACAGCAATGGTTCATGATTCGGTGCTTCCCAATGCACTTCTAAGAAAGCAGCGGGGCTAGACAGTGCTAGGGCAGCCCTAGGGCCCAGCTCAGAGGGTGAGCACAGACTAAGCCAGATCAGGCATAGCACATCAGAGAAAAGCTAGAAAACTGTTTTATGATAAGAAATAGAGAAGAAAAATCCTGAAATTAAAAAATAATATGGTACTGCAAGAGCTGTATTTAGATGAGGGGAAAAGTGCAACCTGCAGCAGATATAAGCTTAGACAACTAACCCACGGGGACCCAGATGTCACCTTTTTTTTTTGTCCTGTAATTTCTCTCTCTTTTTCTCTTTCCCACTGACTACAGCCAACCCTCTTCTTCAGAAAGCCTCTTCGCTATATAATACATGTAATTTTAACAACCTCTGGAATCGCTGTACTTCAGCGACTCACCACATGCTTCTCCGTTTTGTAGCAGAGCTTTGTATGCCTGGGCTGTCTGTAACCCCAGGGTCACAGCGATACGGACCTGAAAGGAGACCTTAACTGCAACTGAGCGATTTGCTCCTGTGCTTTATTTACCTGCTTGTTAGGGTCCAGCACACCACCTGCAGCAAGCTACACCGGTGGTGCTCACACTAGTCACCCCTGCAGCGCGCCAGGGTGGGAACAAAACTAGCTTTACGCCAGCTGCAGCAGCACGAGGTATGGGCTAGAGGGTCTTTCCACAAAGTTTAAAGCTCATCAGAGTGTCCCTGCTCCAGCCACACTTGCTGCTGCAAAGGAGGTGTACACCTAACAGGGTAGTTATCAGGCTTCTGCCTTCAGAATTTGTGCAAGCTTCACACAAATCTGCTCAGATTTGAAACTCCAATTAAAAAAACACATTAGTTCCTTCTTAAAATAGTCAGCAGGTATTCACAGTTTAAGACATTTTTAAATATTAGCAGTTGAGAAGTCAAATGCATGTAAACAGATACAGGGATTACACAGTACGCATCTCTTTGCCAGTGAAAGACTGCAAATGGGTTTTTCAAGTTCCACAGAAAAACGCAAAGGATGCTTTAGTTAACAGAATGCCGATTAAATCTTGGTATATCTGGTCTCCCTCTCAGATCAGTCAGGCCTGCTGAATAACTTTGGGCAATAAATGATACATGATATTCCATATCTCAATTTCCACTCTGTAAAGTAGGATGATATATTCACAAGTGCCACAGATATAAAATCCATTAAAAAGAAGAATGCAAACCAAGTCAGACAACTGCTTTCATATTCTGCTACAGGTAAAATGTTCAGAATTACTAACACGTTCTACAAATATAGTGCAGCACTTAGCACTCGCTGACAATGAACCTTCCCAACAACAGACTGTTCAAAAACAGATCCAGGAGGAGCATGAACAAAGTTAAGGTTGTACATTTTCAGTTTCCACCAGTGTTTCACTCAAGCACAAGGATCTTTGTGTATTTAGATTCATGTTACAAAATGTAACAGTGAGAATTATGCTGATGATTAAATTAATTCCCGCAGCTCTAAGTGATTACTTACCAGACATGCATCATAATCTAAACACCTGGAGAATAAACATCTATACCAGCATGAGAAAGACAAACCAGCGTATGACTGGATTATGTACCACTGACTGTACTGAAAAATAAGTAATTGCAAGGAAATAACCAAGTGTGCCTCTTTTTAATTTAAAAAACTCCACAAGCTCAGCAAGCAGAACATGTAACAAGGACTGCAGAGAGATTTATTTCACCATAAAAGCACCTGCCACTATTGTGCCAACCTGCTTGCTATGAAGAGTACAACCATAGAGCAAAAGGTGTCAGTGGAGTGTAAAACAGCAATTGTCAGAGCTTGAAAATATATTATGCCAATTTAAAGCAAAGCTTGAAGAAATATAACAAGAGCAGCAGCTTCACTTGAATTTAAAACATGCAAATCACAAATATACAAGCTGTATTCCTATGAACACTCCTTACGAAAGTAGCTTTAACGCAGTAGAAGTAGCTACGATATATTACTCAAGCAGATAATGATTGCAAAGTACATCTTGCCTTTTTCATGTAAAGAACTGGAAGCTCCTTAGTCTAACAAAAGGTTAATTCCAGGGAATAACCTTTGAAATAGTTTATATTAAAGGTTTTACTAACATCTGTTGATTAACAATCAGTTGATAAAGAAAGCATGGGAAGAGTGATTTGTAATTGGCACATTTTCCTAGTCTGATTTAAGCAATACGTAACTAAAAGAAAAAAATTCTCCTCTATTCAAGTCCTTCCTTTGCAGTGTTATAATTCCTTCTGTATTATGTTATTCATACAAATCAGTGTTTTAAGGGACACTGGGTTTGGGAAAAGCAGGTAGTAGCCAGAGCTACTCTGCCTCCCAGCCTAATGAAACGCCGTTCCACAGAGGTTTGCAGCGCTTCTGCCACACAGTGTTCAGAAGAGGAACAGAGCTGGTGTTCGCTCCCTATTTACCTTCAAACTTATTTAAAACCACACAGAACTAAGAAGTCCTACAGACTTAAGTAGTCTGGAGGTTATTTTAAATTATTCTAGGCAGGGAATTTTTATCTTGCACACTGATGGCAATGGCTTTAAACAGTGACAACCTTTCTGGCACAGGCTGGGTGGATACAGCTGTCCAGCAAGAGCAACAACAGCTAGTGCTTTCATCATAGAATGGCCTAGGCTGGAAGGAACCTTCGAGATCATTTAATCCAACCTTTCTGTCACAGGCAGGGACGCCTCTCAACTAGATCAGGCAATGCATGGGGACCGAGCGGGTACTGAACTCGCAACCTTGTGTTATCAGCACCACGCTCTAACCAACTGAGCTAACCGGCTTCCCACATCGTTGTTCAAGCATGCTCTCAGCAAACAGAGGATGAGGAGGAGAAAGAAGGGGAAACAACCCCGACAAACCCTTATACTCTTCTTGAGCACTCCCACTCACCATCCCCCATGGAATTGTACTGATTTTAGGAATGCTGGGAAATTGGTCAGTATAATGACCAAATGCTAATGACTCAAATGACACTTACCCAGGGGTGTTTCCAGAAGAATGGGTAAGTGCTAAACCTGGGGGTTGCTGGTGGGGGGGAGTGGGCGGGCAAACCTTGCATGCCTTCATGGAAACTGAGGCACAGAGCAATGGCGCAGCTTGTCATCATGGATTAGAATCATCAAATTCTTAACGAAAGTGTGAAAGAGCACCAAGAGAAGCGTCACTAAATGCTTGGGCTCTTCTTATACTTGGCTTTAAGCTGTCAGTCAGTAAAGGACATTAGACTCTATGAAAGTATTTTGAATACATTCATTATAAACAAACAAACAAGAACCAAAAAACCCCACAACTCCTTTCTTTAAGAATTTCATGTTACCAGCTCTTGTATCATACGTTAAAATGCTACTTAAACGCAGGCTGTCCAATAACAGCATTTTTTCTTACCATATATATAGGAAACTCCAACAAGCTCAAAGATGGCAATGATGACAAGAGAGTAAGAAGCTGCATAAGTGTCCACAAGCTGCAACATATACATTCCACCCTAAAGAAAAAAAAAAAACATTATACAAGAGCCTAATATTACTTGTGGCATAACTGGTGCTAAGGCAGGCAAAATGGGCAGGAGCAGGACCCAGGACTCTCTACCTCAAATAAGATTCCAAACATTGACCTGACACAGGCTCCTGTTGCACTATAACTTCTTCCTCCTGGCTGAACAATGCCAAATCAAAAATGTAGAGGGTATAACTGAATCCAGTAACTAATACAGCTTGGGAAGACACGGTTTCAATCTTTTCAGATTAAGGATTGAACTGTGACCAGAGCGTTCACCAGCAGTGCTCTTTAACTACTTAATAGTATGTCAAAAGCAAAAGAGGGGGGCATTAATTAAAGGATTAATGAACAAGTAAGATTTTGTCCACTCCCTCTTGAAATTACAGAGTGCTTATAAATGATGGAGGAATGAGTGGAAAAAAGACACTAAACACTATTGATGGCAGATGAGAATTTCATTAATTCCACAGTTTGCTAAGATTATAGTCAGAATGTACACCAAATTTGAGAGGAAAGACATCCAAAACCTGTATGCATGTTTATATAACATACAAACTTTTTTTTTAACTGACCACCTAATTTACATTACTACTTTGGAGATGTTTGGCTAGGAAAAATTTTATAAGTCTGATTCTCAGAAGGATTTGAACAGCAAAGTCTTTTAAGTATATTTCAGTCAAACCAACTATTAAAAACAAACAAAAAAAGGCTTTCAGGCTCACCTGGGGTCTCCACACACACAGCAGAATTCAGCTTAATCTTGTGCAATTTGCACAGGAGGAGAACAGTCACCAGAGGGAGACTGGGGATAGAGAGCGATGCCCAAAGACAATGTTATTACCTGAGTGATCATAGGAAACCCCATGATGAAAAAGGAGATGCAGCACCCAAGAGTGAAAAGTGCCTTGTGCGTACGTAAGTATTTGGGGAACTCATCCGAAACAGAGGTCACTATAGTCTCAATAGTGGCAAACTGAAAGGCAGAATAAAAGGGTTCATTTTAGCATACACAAAGTATACAAAGTGCTCCAAGTGGATATAACGGAATATAAGATAGTATTTTGAATTCTGGGTGTTAAATGCTGAGATGGCAACACCAACGCTTCACTCAAATGATTTCAGCATTGATGGCGTTACTTCATTCCTCGGTTCGCAAAGCGGTTCACTGACCACATGGAAAAGAGTGAGTAACCTCATGGTCCTCCAAACGAATAAACAGAAAAAGTAAGAGAAAACGAATCAGAAACAAAAGCAGTTTACCATTGTGTCCAATCCGAGTGTCAGAAGCATCAAAAAGAATATTATAGCCCAGAATGGAGAGAGAGGAAGCCTAGTTAAGGCTTCTGGGTAAACCACAAAAGCAATTCCAGGACCTAGAAATGAGAAAAATAAAGGCTGTGATACCTTGCATCGCATTAACATTGTTGACTGAATGGAAAGGAGGAAGACATGGAGAGCCATGTTTCCAAGTCTAACACAGTATTAGTTCACTTGATGAAAGTGAAAAACATGAGATTCAGTCTCTCCCATGTACAGAAAGATCCAACTGTGCAGAATTTAGCCTCACACAATTAATACCTGTTTCGGCTCTAAGTTTCCAAACACTCATACACGTCTACTTCCCAACCTGAAGAACATATATTTAACCAGTATACTAATGTACTGATCCAAATACTGAAGATAAACAAAAAATGTGTACTGCAGCTATATTTCTTTGCTGCTCTGGGATCAAATTCCTACCACTCTCCCTGCCAATTAGCAACTCAGATAAACATAGCCATCATCCACCTCTCTCGTAGAAGGATGAATGGAAAATACACTTTAACTCATTAGCACATAGTCAAACGAGCATTAAGAAACAGAACAAATGCACACAGCTGATACCAGACACAACGCAGTAACTGCCATGAATCTAAAAAAAAATCCACAAAAAATCTGAAATAATGCACAGCGGAAAAAATGAGATCTTTTAAAACTTCAACCAGGAATTTTCCTTCGTTTGGTATCTTGGGCTATAATTTTTATTGACTATTTTTACAAACATTCTTTTAAAAACCTATTTTTTACAAGCATGCTTAGATTTGCCTGGGAAAAAAAAGGTTGCAGGATTAGGAATGCAGTGGTAGCATCACAGTTGATGGCATTTCCTCTCTAATTACAACAGTTAAAGGAGTGCCCACCTCAAGCATTCTGAAGGATCTTTCCTGTCAGGCAAAATAGAACTGCCAGACAAGTTTTGTTGATTGCATGATCCATGCCACAAGAAGAGTCTCCAAACTGATCTTAAAGGCCTTTTCCAACCTAAACAATTCTATTACTTCCCATCTAGATTATTGCATCTCATTTCCTAAAGCTCCCCATGCATTTCTGTTCAAGAGAACACTGTTTCTTTCCCAGATACTGAGAAAAACAGTTTTAGCAGCACGTGAAATAATCTCCACAGGCAACTTCAAGTGTTTGTGGAGTTCATTCTGAGCAAAAAACAAATATGAGAGTTAACAATACAGTAAAAAAAAAAAACAAAAAAACCACACTGAACATGACTCAGTAAGTGTTGCTGCCTTTAAAATGTGCTGCAGAAAAAATTTTTTTTGGAATAGGAACGTGCACATAGAACTACTATGTATTCATGAACATGTTCTTTCATCTCTTGATTAAAGATTTCTTCTTGACTACTGGAGATAGGGGCTCTGTTTGCACTAGCTTCCTGCATGTAGAAGTTTAATTAAGCCTTGAAATAATGAGTTCCCATTAATCAAACTTTTAGGAAAAGTTTAATTATAGAAGACAAAACTGTACATCATCTCAGCCCCTTATAACTCTCCAAGATACCATGAGTCAGGGAGCACCCAGGCACAGATAAATTGCCACAGGGAGGCTGGCTCCCATCCTTTCCAGTTTTGGAGATTTAGGGGGATATGAACTCCTTCTAAAGGGCTGTTAAAGCCAGGAAAACTCCAAAGGTTTTATATGTGTTAAAACAAAAAAAGTCAAATTACCTTGGACTTTCATTTTATAAAATTTTTCAACTGCAGCGTGTTCTTAACCAAATGGAGAAAGAAGAATAAAAACAGATTGTTCTGTCTTTCCATTCATGAGAAGAGTGTTATTTGTTCATGAGATATATGATTTTTGTCCTGAAAGGCAGTTTCTAAATGAAAAAATACTATCTATTTCAGATTAATATTTTAAGAGGGGGGGGAAAAAGGGAAAAAAAAAAGTAGAAAAAGGGAAAAAACCCCCTTCTATTAATAAATTTAAGTTTTTAAAATTTGAAGGTAGAGTATGGCTCATCATCATTTTGACTGTTTTCTCTTTCACTGCAAAAAGAAATACAACTTGAGAATAAAAAAGGTAGGAAGCAACGAGTGCTGGCTCTTTTCCCCACTTGCTGAGTCTGCTTTTCAACCCTCCTAATTCAATGTGCTGTGTCCACAATTATCCTTAATCTTTGCTCTATTCGTGCTGTACAGTCATGTTCTACTATAGGGCTAAATTTCATTTTCCCCTACCGCAGAGAGCAGTGAAGCCTCTCCCTCACGAAATATTTTCAAATGGCCTAATTGGGCCCTTACAAATGCCCTGCGAGCCCTACAATAAGGTTGTCTGGTGACAGCTATTTCACATCCCCCAGCACAGCTGCTGGAACAGCGGGGAACCAGCCCAGTCGCTCACTCAAAGACCAGCAAGAAGCATTCAACAGAAACGGGTTGTGATGATGCCTTCTCCAGGGACACGAACCAGCCGACCCAAGCGTTTCCTCCACCTTTCACCCTGAAGAGCATTTGACAAACAGCAGGAGAGGCAAATGAGAGGGCCAGTAACCCTTAGTGTACGTGAAGGAGACATCGCACCCTATCCCCCATCAGTCATTTACATAAAGATTTGAAATGAGTTTTGACTTGCTTATTTCTCTTACCAGACAAGTGATAAGGCACTTCCAGAATACTTCCCAGTATCTTCTCCCATACAGAAATGCCTACAAGTGGTTTACTAATCCACTCCAGTTTGAAGCCACAATTCCTACTTCCAACAAAATCATGAATAATAGAGCTGAAAGTGCCACCAGGTGCCTGAGCAACAAACAGCAGCGTGCCCTACCTTGGTCTGCCACAGCTTCAATATTCACTTTGAGCTCGTTTGCCATGAAGCCAATAACTGAGAAGATGACAAAGCCTGCAAATATACTTGTGGCACTGTTGGTACACGTGACTATCAGTGTGTCCCTGGAAAGAAAACACAAGAAGCCACATCATCAACACACACAAGGGAGGAGGGGTTTGTACGTAGGTAAGGAGTCTCTCTCACGAGCACACGCATGGGAACGCCGATGAAGTTACACTTTTACACCTAGCAGGTACATTGGATGATGATCAGAAATGACAGAAGTCTTGACAACACCACCAGGAATCAGCTGCGCAAGCTTCCATCACCTATGTGCTCTATAGAAAGCCACAGACCGCACAGCAGGATGAGCAGCTCTGCTCTTGGCCTCTCTGAAGAAAGCAGCAATGGTGACACAATCTGTAACGCAATGTTTTGCTCTTTGCCTGACAGGGATATCTACTCACCATGCTACACGCTATCACTGTCCAGGTAAAATTATTTTTGTCCTGTACCTATCCTGTATTTACACACAAAATGTCAGGGTTAAGCTTTCTGTACCTTGGAGGACCCTCTTAAGGGCTGGCCCATCTGTAGAGGATTCCCTGGTAGTTTTCTGTTGCTGATGTTACAGGAATCTGAAGAAATCCAGACCTGAACTCCATGCTATACTGGGAAAGTACCTGTGACTTGATAGCAAACCAGCCCTCACAATCTCCGTCCATAAGTACTGCTGTTTTGTTTTTTTAACAGAATTTTTATTTTGTTCTCAAAGTATGTATGTCAAAAAGACTTCCCCTTCAACAGCTATGACTGAGGAACAAAAACGTCACAGACTTTGTTTTCCAAAGTTGGCCAGAAATTTCTTATTCTGTTATTTGTCAGGAACAGAATCAAACACAACCTGAGAAGTCGTCAGAAACCTCACTCAGCTGGCAAACTTCTGGAATCTCTAACAAAACATCTCTTAACAGGAATTATTAGGTTAATTCTTTAGGCCTAAAGGAAAAAAAATTATAATGTTTTGCTTAGAATCATCATGTGTTAATCTTCTTCCAAAATGTGGATAAGTTTTAAGTAAAATGTTTTAGGTAGGCATTATGAAGTGCGTTTATGTAAATTTACTGCAATTATGGATTATTTAATGATGTTTAAAACAGATATGTAACTGAAAACTACAGTTTTACCTGCAGTATTAGAATGTAATGAATATAAAAACTAAAAGGGAAAGCAGTCATGCTTCATTTCAGTATTCAAGATACGTGGTAAAATTAACCAGATTTGAAGCAACTAAGCTTTTCTAACTATTTCCGCTTCAATCTCCCACATGCTGTGTCTAACACAGGTAACATATTTTGTTATCCTGTATTTCGTTCAAAATTTTCATTAATTTCTTCCAAACTCACAAAACATTGCTAAATTAATGCAGAAAGACAGCATGGTGCTTCTCCCATTTTTTGCCCTGATATTTTGAACACATTAATTCATCATCAAAAAAAAAAAATTCGAAGTCCAGGACAAGCATTTTTGAAAACAGGGTTGCTGGGTGGGAGATACTGAATACGCAACACTGCACCTTATTCATCCATATTTTGGGACAATTATATTCAATTACTTTTGAACACTAGTAGAAAACATTTTTTTCAATTTATTTTTAAATATCCTGATCCAAATTTCTGTTTAAAGGTAAGTATTTGTTTACAGTACTTAGAAGCTACAGGATATGGGAGTTCAAATCCCAAGAGGCATGTGCTTTAAAGTCTTGCTTCAGGGAGGGTTTTAAACATGCCCTTGGGACAGTCCCTGCGCCTGCTCTTTACCATCCTGAATCAGCTCCTCTGTCACTGCAGGATCAGTAAAGGTTTGCTTCAGCAGAAACAAGACTGGCTTTAAAGACAATAAAATAGCAGTGAAGCATTCTACTAAGGCCACATGCTCTTTTTTTGTTGGTCTGGTTTTCTTTTTTTTTTTTCTCAACCGCAGACATTTACCGGCACGCTTTTGGATGGAAAACTGTACTATGCCACCAGAACAACTACTTCTTTCCTCATAAAAATAACTTTTGGTGACTTCACACATGTAAAACCACGCTAAGAGTAATTCAAAATAAATAACATTTAGGAGAGACAAGGATCACACGTACAGAAATTGCATGTTAAACTCATGCAGAGGCTGCCAATGGGCAGAGATTCATGCGACTGCTCACAGCTGTGGACATCTGTCCAGATTGCCTTTCAGCTTGAACCTACTGATTCTGAAAGGGAAGAGCTAACAGTGACTGCAATAAGCCTAAAGCCCATCTAGAGACCAGTGGATTAGGACCTGGGGAGAAGATATAAGGGGCAAAACAAAAAAAAAAGGAAAAAATAAAGAAATAAAACAACCAAGAAACCCAAAACCCCAAACAAACTCCCCTCTCCTAAAAAAAATTCCAAGAAAAAAAGATAAAAGAAATAAAAGGACAATCTTTCAAGCCAGATTTCTACAAAACAATTGGTTTTAGACAAGACCTGTTTAATAAGACCATCAAATTTCACTCTCACATACCTGTAGCAATTATTATGGAATTTGTTGTAAGAAGAGAGAGTAATTAGACCTCCCCAAGCTGCAGATAAGGAGAAGAAAATTTGAGTGGCAGCATCCTTCCAAACCTAAGACAGACAGACAGAAGAGGAAATAGCATGAGCTTCAGAAGCAAGTACTAGAAAGATCAATAACACTATTAGGTGTTAATCCCCTAACAATAACATTTAAGTAGTTAATTAACTGAACAGCAATGGCTGCCAACAGAACATTTAAAAGCAAAATCCTGTCCCAAAATACACAGTGCCAATTTGAAATGGAGTATTGTTCTTGCTGAGCCCATATAAAATGATAATATAACCTTTGCTGTATAGGAAAGGCAAAAATATTCAAACAATATTGTCTGGCACATATCAATTCAGCAAAGAAAATACAAATCAAGAAAAAAACTCTGAATTGGAAATTAATGGTTTATCCACCAATGATCCTGCATAACACTTCAACTTTGGGATAAAAGCAAGAACCTTAGTGGCAGTTAATGTACTCCTTATGGATGACATTACATTAAAATTGGGATAAATTTCCATCATCAGGTGTACATCAACAGCATAGTGTAAGTTAGGGCTATGCAGACACCAGGAACTAAGTTTCGTCCTGCAGAAGACATGCTCAGCCAAGCCCCCTTAAAAAAACAAACCAAACAACCAAGCATCAATGTTTGACTGTAAAAGTTCTTCAAAGCCTTAAGCAACAGTATAAAACATTTCTGAACTGACTGGAATTTCAAAGGCCTTGGTCTCAGCGCTTGCAAAATGTTTGAAGCATTGCTCTTTCTATGTACAAGCTTTCCTACCAAGTCTGATTTTCCACCCAAGTCCACAATTCAGGAATGGAGACACACATCCACGCACACGGACCTAAAGATACACTAAACAACTTGAAGATACTACCTAAGCACTCCTTTAAAAGTTACCAGCCAGCAAGCACTCAACCCTTTATTTAACTGAGAGTAAGACAGAGCTATTAATTCGTGTTACACTGCAAAGAAAATTGAAAACACATGCTCGCCTGAATATTCTTGCACACTGACCCAGGGTTATACAGACCCTTGTGCATTCAGACAGCCCCAGTTTGCAAAAGGCAGCAGTTCCCACCTCCTTTATTGCACCGTGCGGGATCCCAAACCACTCATGTTTAATGCAGAAATGCAGGTAAGTTTATCATGTTACCTATTAAAAGCTTCGTGTATTTGTTCAAGTCAAGGCAGCATCCAACAGACAGCAGCATATAAAAACCTATATTTACTTTCTAATCCCCTTTTTTCCAAATGCACCTACTCAAGAGATTCAGGTAGAATATTGCATGTGAAGTAAACAACGTAACTATAAAAACATAGGTTAAAAAATACTGCATGCACACAAATAACAAACACCTATTGAAACAACACTCCATGTAAGCTGAAGACCAGGTTTCCACAGGTGACACGACTGCCCCTGCACACACAAAATGCTTGTGACAGATGCTAAGAAACCTGTGTGACTCAGTCACCTGAGCAGAGTTATAAGTGCAATAATAAGCCCACCATAGCATCAATTAGCTTCTCCCACTTTGGCGTGATGAAATACCAGATTCCAGCTCCAGCCCCAGGCAGAGTTACTCCTCTTATAAGAAGGATGATGAGAACTACATAGGGGAACGTGGCTGTAAAGTACACGACCTGGACAGACCAGAAAAAAAAAAAATTATTGAAAGGGCTTATTTGAATCCATAAGGAGGGGAGAATTCAAATGCTACACTATTGTTTGAAGAAAGCAATTGCTCAGGCTCAGAGATGATAGCAGATGATAGCCAGGGAATAAATTAGGAAGACAACAGGCAAATGTGAAATTGTACAGCTCCTCTTGTCACCGAAACAGGAAGAATATCAATATCAGCATAGGTAAAAGTTTGGATTCCAGACATATAGGGGAAGAAAAATGGAAAAGAAAGTCTGGAAAGGAACAATAAGAATTTAAAGGAAAACATCAACTTTTGATCCTGGCCCAGAGTAAATTAACACAGTTCAGTGGAAATTAAATTGAGCAACGTCATTTGATAACACTTAAAATTCTGATTTTTTTCTATATACTTCTCTGTATTTAACTAATTCTAAAGAATTTTAATTACAGTTTTTACCTTTCAATGATCACCTATCACCATGACGATATGGTCACAGCGCAGAAAAAAGAAAGTCAATAAAAACATCCAGATAGATTTAATCATGATGATGTCCAAACATACAAGAGAGGTTGTGTTTAATGTCTTAATAATTATCTAGTACAGAGCAGAGCTCTCCCTGCAGCCAAATAAAACTGCTAGATCACAGCCAGTTAAACTGCAAGCTCTACCAAAAAGCATTTCAAACGCTTTTCACATTAACCTCTGAATCTTACAGGGACCAGAATCCTTTGAGGTGAAGTGACTTTTGAAACTCTTCCCCAACTTTCTCTGCTGTTTCAAGAGGTATTTCAAGAAATAACCCAAATGAAGTTTTATGCAGTGAATATACCAAACCCATCTATGCATAAATGATAAAGACGTTCCTATTCCTAACACCAAGGAGTCCATATATTTCTTGGCCACTAAGACTCAAAGAAATATCTATTGCCACATCCAAGCCCAAGTTATTCTCCTGTGCAACACCAATTTCCTGGCTCTAGCCTCTCATGGAGCAGTTTTGCCTGTCACACAAAGGTAGAATTTAAAAATCTAAATTTTCCTCCAGCACTCTGAATCTCTGGATTTTCCAATTCCCAAACTACCTCCCATCAGACGTTGTCAGCTTCTAGATGCAAAGGGTTGGCTAGGATTCAGAAAGCCTGTGCCCAGTCTAGAAAATTCATAGCAATCTCTGCATAGTCACTACATTTATCCCAGGAAATATCTTGTTATTTCGCTCCTGCTGTTCCATCTTTTCAGCCTACACTTTGTAAATAAGCTAAGTTTTCGCTATGTCATCATCTAACGTGTTAACTGCAGTGGCATTGATGGGGAAGTTTCAGA